TTCAAAAGCGTCTATCGTTTTACTTTTCTATTTAAAACTTTAATCCCCTTTTAATCGAAAATAAATTAAGGAATCATAAATTATTATTTTACAATTGCTCTTTATTTCCGCTAAACTCTTTTACATAAATAGTATTTAAATTTAAAATATATTTACTTCATTTAAGAAAAGAAAAGTTAAAAATATTTGTTTACAAATTTCATTTTCTAAGCAAAATATATCAAAAAGATCGAATTAAACTATTGATAATTCGTTCAAAATTTGTTTTGGAATTGTATATCATTGAATTCCACCTTATAATTATATTATTGAATAATAAAAAAATTATGTTGGCAACATTTTAAACAAGTTCACTTGTTCAAAATGTCGTCGAAGCTGTTTAAATTTATTAGAGAATCGTGGAGATTCTTAAAAATGCTTTTAATGTATTATAAAAATATAAGCTTATATATATATATATTATGTTAGGGTTAGGGTCAGGGTTATGTTAACATTGTTCCATAGATGTATTTTATATTTGTAAAAAAAATAACAAAATAAAAAAACATAAAAATTAAAAACTAAAAAAAATTAAAAATAGATAGTAATATATTGACTTGCAATTAATTATTCAATACGCAATTTATGTGAGCCTCTCTGCTCTGCCTAAGAGGCTCACGAACTCCATTTAGGCACTACCGCACTGATGATTTTGGTTTAGAAAATGTGTAAAGTGGATTTATTTAGTTTGTATTTGTTAAGTGCCATTATGTAAATTTGTTTATTAGAATAAAGTTATTTCCTTGAAAAAAAATAAAAAAAGTTCGCAATTTATTAATAGTAATGAATAAACTCAAAAACATGGGCGCTTCTAGGAATAAAAAGAAAAATGAGGAGCGGGCGAATCGTTAAAAACTCCCGATTGCTTTCTTAAAAAAAAATATCCGAACAATAAAAATCTTTAAACTGCCGACTAATCTCTTGAATCACTTATACACACACACACACACACACACACACACACACACACACACACACACACACACACACATATAGACACACCGTAAAATTGTCTCTGGGTAGCACTTTTATACCCAACTCCTAGAGAGTTGGGTATAAAAGTGTATAATATGTTTTTTAAATAACGCTTTAATCTTGAGATGTAACTCATTGTTGTAATTTATTAACAGCATAAATTATTCAGGATTTATATGCCGCCTACTTGTAAAGTAGGTGGCATATATACCACTCATAAAGTTACTAAATAAACATAAGAGGTTAATTATAACGAATGACGCAGTTAAAAGGTACACAATACAAATTTTATTACGCGATGCATTTAAGTGCCTCTACGACTAGTTCAAATGCGCTAAAATATGACGTCAAAAAATAAAACAAAATTATTTAGAATGATAATTTTTTTCGACTTTGAAGTAACTAATTAAAAAATAAAGGCATTCCATAAAGTGTGAACTCATTATTTCGGAGAATGAAGGAACGCAGCCAAAATCGTTTTATCATTTTTGTTACAGATTTCATCTAATATTTTTTTTAGTGTTAATAGTACTTCAAGAATACATAATTTCTCGTATCAGGTTAACTAGATGAACAAATGTTAAGTTCGTAAGTAGCCAATGTTTATGGATTGCGCAATTATCATTTTAGACGAAAACTAAAAACAGATTTGTTAACCTAGTTAACCTGTCCCCCGTCGTTCTTTACTGCAACATGTGTAGGTCGATTCTTAGACAATATTTTGTCTGACGTTTTTTTTCCCGTGACGTTTTGAAAGTCAGACAATAATACTTTGGTTTTTGCTAATGCATTGGTTTTGCGCTAATGCATTTTACAATCTAGCGGAACAAATACGTTTCTACGACTTTACTTTGTTGTTAGAAAAAAACAATTGTTTTGTTTTTTCTAACTACAAAGTAAAATAAAAAAAATCCTAAAACTACTTATGTTCTAATATAGAATATGAGTAGTTTTAAGGGGGTTTATTTAATATTTTCTAGTATTTAAAAAAAATTTAAGCTAGTTTAAATTAGGTTTTTACAGTTACAATAAAAAAAAAAAAAAGATGTTTTATAGTAGGAAATAAACTAGTTTTTTTTTTATTCCTACAATTTTAACTTTTTATAAAAGCAGTTTATTTTTACCTCGATTATTAAAGAATCTTAATTTCTAAAAATGTTTAACAATTTTTTTTTAAGCTCGAGTTTTTAACAAAAGTTTTCTCGTCTGACTTCTTAAAGCGCATTTAAAGTCAGACAAAATATCATCCTAAATTTAATACCGCATTAAAAAGTTAAACGAATGGTTTGTTAACCTCCATTAGTTTTTTTTTTTTTTTTTTTTGGATTTTTCTTTCTTGATAAAAAAAGGTTTTTTAAGATTTTCTACACAGCAAAGTTAAAAACATATTTTACACAGCAAAGAAAAAAACATATTTTAATTAATTTATAAAGTAAAAAAACTTTTAATATAATAAAAAAAATTAGTTTATAAAATCGATTTTTTTTTTTTAGATGATCTATTAATTATGAGTTTTATTTTAGATTTTCGATATGCTTCCGTCACAGGCTTGTTGATCAGCGTTTAAAAAATTTTTTTTACTACCTACTTTATTTCGTAAATAAATGAACGCTTTTTGTTTCATTGGAAAATTATGATTTTATTGGAAAGCATTTTACTCTTATTTGCACTATTTAAAATATATTCATATTAGTTTTTGACATAAGTTAGTCTATGCTTTGATCTATGCTTTTTTTATCGTAAGACATAGTGTAATGTTGTATGCTGGTTATGAGTGCATAATTTTAATTTATACAATTGAAATTTGTTTGTAAGCTCCCAATCATGATTTCGTTAGATAAAGGCCGAGAACGTTGGTTCAAACGACATGACTGGGTGCGTTAATCAGCAGCGAGGCCCTAAAATGGGCCTCAAAACTGAAACTTTGCTTACTAAAATGTGTCAAATGCCAACTAGCCGACTATATTCCTTGAAAACCGACTATAAGTTGAAAATAGCCTCTTTTTTGTCGGGGGTAGGGTAAAAGACTTCACCCCTCCCAAGACCCCCGTAAAATTGCCCGTAACATGGGAACACATATAAAACATCGAACTAACGAGTTTGTAGACACACAGTTTTGAAGGTGCTCCGAGATGATCTACTGGTCTTATCCAAAAGCGCCACTTCTTTATTTTAGAATAATATCAGTTCCCAGTTGTTTTTTTTTAAATGAGTTATATTGCAGTTTTAAGGTGGAAGGCTGTTAAAAAAATTATTTTTGTATTTTACAATATTTCAATAGATTTTTTTTACTTCAAACATGATAAATACATTAGAAAACTTATAATTTATATATATATATATATATATATATATATATATATATATATATATATATATATATATTATTTATAAAAGTACCTGTTTTTTCCCTAAATATATATATATATATATATATATATATATATATATATATATATATATATATATATATATATATATATATATTATTTATAAAAGTACCTGTTTTTTCCCTAAATATATATATATATATATATATATATATATATATATATATATATATATATATATATATATATATATATATATATATATATATATATTTAGGGAAAAAACAGGTACTTTTAGGTCAAAAACAAACTGTTTTGACCTAAAAATTTTTTTTATACCTCAAAAAGTATAATTTATTAAGTTCTAATTTTTTGTATTTTTATTCGTTTTATGTAGAAAAATGTCCTGAGATAAAAATTTTTGTTGAAAATTTATTTATTTTGAAGCATCGTTAGATTTTTCAAAGCGCCGAGTAAAAATGAATTTCTGATATTAAGAACCAAAATTTTGTTTTTTTTAAAATTTATATTCTAAATTTGTTTTATCTCAGGACATAAAGCTTATAATAATGAATCTCTGGAAAAATTTTGAAGTCAATTGGACTAACACAGCTCCTGCAATCTTTGCCAGAAAACGAGAAGAATAAAACAGAGAAAAATGCATATAAAATTTAAAATATTGAATATACCAACTTATGAAAACAGGTTAAAATCCCCCGTTTTTACATACTGTATCACTTAATCTTTGTATTTATTATCAAACCCTTCCTAGTTGCTTTAAGATTTTTCCTTTGTTTTTTAATTTTTTTTTTATTTCTAACCTTAACTAGCCGTTGCTATGAACGTTGCTAGGGAAAACAAAATTACCCTGCTAAAATAAATCACTTTTATTAGTTCTAAGTTTGTTTTTCTCATATGAAGATGTTTTTAGATTCTACAACAGTTACTGTTTAAAACAATACCTTTTTTGATAAATTGTTTTTTTCTCGCTTTTTTAGCATTCTACCACCTTAAATTTTTCAGGTAAAAATAAATCACTTGTAGTTTATTCATATTTTATAAAGTAATTGCAAAATATTAAAGGTTAAATTTACAATACTACTAAAACAAAAAATGTTAGTGCTAAACATTTTAATACAAAAAAATGAACTAATTAGTAATACGATTTACATACACAAAATGAAAGATCTAAACCAAAATTAAACCATTCCAATTTTATCATTCCATATAAAATTTTTTTTAGGAAAACAAAAAAAAATATGAGGGTCAGTTATAAAGTGAAACAGAAAAATGTTAACTCATTAAGTATTCTGTATTTAGCATCATTTCAAAATGCTTTCAAATTGAAAGACTGATGGAAGCTAAAACCTCCCGTCATTTAAAAGTTATGATTTTTTACTAATTACAAATTGCAGTAAATAAAAAACAACAAATATTTTATAACTAAAAAAAGTATGAAAAACATCCAGATGAGTAGGGTTTATAAGTTTCTAGTTGTTTTTTTTTTTAACCCTTATTAATGGATTTTTATTGCAATGTTGTGCTTTTTTTTTGAAAAATGTCTTTTTTGTTCATATTCGCATTTTTATTTCTTAAAAATGAGAACGGTGCGGTTTTTACACCACTCTTATGATTTATGTGACTCATTACTCTCAGGACATCAGCAGCATCAGCCGTTCCCCCATTGAAATGCAACACAGCCGAGTTCACTCCCAACTCAAATGAAACTTTGTGAGTAAAAATGTTTTTTTGTCATTTGTACCATATATTATTGTTGCGTACATTTTATTAGAACTATGTGTTTAATCGTGTGTGAATTTTCTTAATGATATTATATACTCAAACGGGTAAATTAAAGTTTAGTGTGTTACTTTTGCTACATGCAGAACTTCTTTTTTTTTCATTTACACCAGCTGTTATGACCCAGTACATAACACGTCGCGATCAGGCTGCATAGGAAAATTAGTGCAACGGTAAAGCCTTGATGTTTTTTTCTCAATTGGTCTTTGAAAAACCCCAATATTATCAATAACTTTAAAATTGAGAAATCATTATGTTTATGCATAACTATAATTTTACACACTTTTATCATCTAGACGTATTCAAACCATGCTGCCCTACTAAACTAATTCGTGATTAACAAAATGTGACAAAAATCTTATATTAGAGAAAATAGAGATAGCAATTATAAACCTAAGGTACTGTTTTTAGACCGTTGAACCGTTGTCAGGACTTTTTTTTATTAAATCTAAATAAAGTGAATTAACTCACAATAAAATATTTAAATAGAATTTCAGAAACACTTTTGTTGAATTGATATAAACTTAAAGAAATCCAAAAAACAAGAACTTGATAAAAACTGAGACTTAGTGATGAGCCACCTTAATCATTTATAAGAAATACATGAGCTTAATGTTATTCGGACCGAGTTTAGCCATTAAGAAAACAAATTTGTTGCCAAGGGCAACAATATTGTTTTATTAATGGCTAAACTCGGTCCGAAAAGACAACACTGAAAGTTAGCTTTTTTTAATGAAAAAAGTTTACGCTTTTTTCAAGAAATATAATAAGAAAGCAAATTACTTTTACAATTACAAAGATATTTTGCAATATATTGCAAATTATCTTTGTAATTGTAAAAGTAATTAACTATATTGCAAATTTAGGTATTCAAAGGTTTAGAAATAAATACAATCATATACACAAAGATTTAATAATTAATTAATTAAAAGACACATATATCATTAGTAACTACTAAGAATAATAAGTAAAATTCATTTTAATAAATTTGAGAAGTTTTTTGAAATTATCATTCCGCAAAATTAAAAAAGTGTTTTTTTGCTTGAAACTTAAATGAGTTTAATGATTTTACCATATCGATGGTTAAGATAAAATGCAATAGTGGTAGAGCGCTCGCTTCATAAACGAGTGGTTCCGAGTTCGATCCCCACCACGTCCCTGGTAGTACCGCGCTCAACTCGTTTCTCTGCGCAGCGGCCTTGTTCGTCAAGGTTCGTGTTTCGGAGTTATAGAGTTGAGAGAGGGTTATAGCCACAAAATAAGTAGCCTCCTCGTCTGTAGTGGCCTTCTCGGCCTTGAGGAGGTGAAGTAAAAAAAAAAAAAAAAAAAAAAAAAAAAAAAGAGCACAAAGGGACCATTGTTTTGAGAAATCTGAATTTAAAAGTTTGAAATTATACAATAATTCATGATATTTGTTTATTGTCATGATTTTTAACCAAATCCATTCCTCAATTAATTCTTTCTTGTTTTTTTTTTTATTTTATTTTCATTTCTTTCACATGTTTAAACATTTAAACATTTTAAAATGCTTTACATTTTAAAATGTTGGACATATTTCCTTTGTGCTCTTAACCATCGATATATACATAGATTTTTGAAAGGAATTCCATATCTTAAGTCCTCAATATGCTATTGATTATTCTGTATATTTATTAAATTTCCTTGGCAGTTTAAAGGAATTTAATCGATTTGTTCTTAAGAAATACTTTTCATTTACATTTATACATATAGTTATGAAGCGTTATAAAGTATGCATTTTACGTACGAAAATACGTACGATTACGTACGATTTCACCTATACTTTCAGCAATTTACGTTTAATAAAATCTTTAATCATTTGGAATATTTAATTTTTTTTTTGATATTGTTTATCGAGCGTTTATTTACATTATGTTATTTATTGTAAAAATCTTTTTATTTGGGTGAATGGAATAACGCCTGAGTACGGCACTGATTGCATAAGTTTTACAAATCTTTTGCAAAAGTGAATATTAACTAGTTAATCTGATAATATTAATACGCTAATTTAATAGTAGTAGTTAATAGTCGTCTTACGTCATTTTCTAGGCTTTTCAAATTCAAGAAGTACCAATAGGATTTATAGAAACACCCGTAGGATTTAGAAATTCAAAAAAGTACCAATAGGATTTAGATATAAAAGTTAAAAACAATTGACTCTAGAAGTGTAATAACGTTAATGGTTGGCACACAGTGGCAACCCTTAAATAGTGAATAATTGCGTACTAACATAAATACGATAGTTAATCAAGTATTGTCACTAACACAAATTAAAACTAAAATTCAAAGAACAACATTTTTGACAATAAGAATATAATTTCACAGTTAATGATTAAATTCACAAGCAAAAATAATAATTGTTTTTAGCACACCTCGTTTTAAAAATATCGCAAATCAAACCCTCTATGTTGCAAGAGCAATCTCTAATTTTCTCACCAATAATGCCATTCAAAAAACTTGTCTCTCAATCAACGTGGTCAATGAACATATCTGTCAAATAAAATTCAGAAAAAAACCTTGCATAAACTCAAATATCTACCAATTTGATGACTTCTATGACATCAAAAACATAGAAAAATAACAAAAAATAATAGTAAAACAATTAAAATTTATTTACAACCAATTAACTACAGGAAAAGGGTAATAAGCAACTATTTTACTTTTTGCAATTTAATATTTGCAAGAAGATGTTGCTCCTTACAGGATTGTAATTGGTTCATATTCGTATTCAACACTAAGCACTTATGCAATTATAACAAACAGTGCTTATAAATTTTCTCTTTCTTTTCCACACATCTTTGTTGAATAATATTTGTACATATTTGATGATTATGATATAAAAAGCATACTTGACTGAAAAAGGAGTTAGTCAAAAAAAAATTTCATTAAATTTTCGAACATATTGGCTGGAGTCTATAGCATATTGACTGGAGTCTATAGCATATTGACTGGATTCTATAACATGTTGACTGGAGTCAGTCTATAGCACATTGACTGGAGTCAGTCTATAGCATATAGACTGAAGTCAGTCTATAGCATATTGACTAGAGTTTAAAGCATATTGACTGGAGTCTATAGCATATTTTTTATCTTCATTTAACATTCAAAAACTTAAAAACTAAAAACAATTTTCAATGGTTTTCAAATTTCTAAATCAACATTAATATGCGTCATTGTATTTATAATGCATTACATAAATATGTATGGATATGTAAAAACCATAAAAAATTAAAAAAGTTATATTATGTATTAATTGCTTTCAATACTATCTAAATTCAATTTAAACTACGCCGTTTGTTTGATATCTACAAGTTGGTCAGGTAAGGTTATCCTGCTACTGGTAATATGTAACCCAGTACAACCTGCTTCATGTCCTGCTGCCTTGTAAGATACGCATTTTAAGGCAAAAGCTAGAAGAAGTCAACTCTGATTTAAAACACCCCCTGCCTTGGACACTTGGTTGAGTAAAGACTAGAGATGGTTTCTTGATAAAAATATTCATCTTGGGCAGATGTTAAACGCAACCGGCTACTGTCTTGTACTTGGCAAAGAATTAAGAGGTAAACAGATTCTATTTGTTGACCAGCTCCGCACCCCTTCTTTATCTACTAGGCTAGCGCAGATGTATTTATAATACATTGAATGCCTCTATCTCTACAACCTACCGTACCTCTTACAACTACCTTAAAACTGACTAGGACTCTTTCCATAATTTTCTTCGTGATAGCCCTTAAATAGAAATCATTTGCCTTCCTACTGAAAAATGTGCTTCTTACATAACTTCGTGGATTCAGGCTGGCATGGAATCTTTTATTCAATCTCGAGAATTCAAAACCAAGCCTCACTCTTCTCAATGGTTTTCTCACATTATGCTGCTGCAATTTCCAATCGAAACTACTACTTCCATATCTATCGCCAAAACTTATTTTTAGAAAACAGACGTGTGTTTACTATTGCTAGAAACAATTGTAAAAGGATTTTGTCTAACATCAAAGCCCGCTTTTCTTAGTTCATGAAATCTTGTATTTTATTTCATAAATTAGGCTCTCGTGACTTCTGGAGAATCTTTAACAGTATCAATAATAGGGGAAAATTTTCTATTCGAACTTTTTTGTATGGTTTAGATTTTTTTACCTCACCTAAACAAAGCTGGATTGTTTGCTAAATACTTTTCATCAATATCGTCTCTCGATTCCACTAGTTGCGTTCTACCTGATATAGCCGACAAACAGGTTGATCCATTGCTTGACATTTATATTACTCCAGCTTCTGTATCTAAAGTGATTTCCTTCTAAGACTCTTTCCAGCTTGTGGTCCGAATAATATACTAGTTATAACCTTGTAAAAGTGTTCTACGGAGCCGTCGTCTATCCTTTCAAAACTAATTAACAAGTGGCTATCAGAGTCTTGTTTTCCAGTCTGTTGCAATTGGGCGTCTGTTATCCCTATTTTCAAAAGTTCTGGAGAACAAACTGACTCGTCTAACTACCGTCTCATTAGTCTTCTTTCTATAGTAAGCAAGGTTTTTGAGTCTTCAATTAACAAACACTTAATCTCCTATCTTAAATCTAATAACTTACTTTCTGATCATCAATATGGATTTCGATCTTCTCATTCATCAGCTGATTTGTTAATAGTAATACTTGATAGATTTTATTCTCCATTATATAGAGATTGAGAGGTTAAAGCTATCGCTCTTGATACTTCTAAATCTTATGATAAAGTTTGGCATGCTGGTCTTCTCCCTAAGCTTCCTCCTTATGGTGTATCAGGTAACATCTTTAAGATTATTGAATCCTTCCTTACCAATTGTAGTATAAAAGTTGTCCTCGATGGGCAGCACTTTTCTTCATATCCTGTAACTTCAAAGATTCCTAAAGGTTTTATTCTTGGCCATATACTCTTTTTTATTTACATTAACGAGCTTCCGGATATTCTCAAATCTAAGGTGACATTTTTCGCTGATGATACTACCATTTATTCTAGTCTTAATAAAAAGCCAACATTCATCTACCCTTCATCTTCTAGAATTAACTATTACTTTCAATCTTTCTATGAAACCATTTATCAAATTTATTGTAAAACTTTAGCATCTGCTAAGGTTGCATCTCTTTATCATACTCGACACTTTTTTACTCAGGATTCTATTCTTTATCTCAATAAATCTCAAATCTGTTCTTGTATGGAATATCTTTGACATATCTGGGGCGGATCTTCTAATGATGCCTTTTCTCTTTTAGACAAGATGCAAAAACGCTTTGTAAAAATTGTTGGATCTACTCTTGCAGCCAACCTCCAACTACTATCACATCGTCGTAAGGTTACTTCTCTTTTTCTTTTCTATGAATACTGCTCTAAAGAACTAGCGTTATTTATACTATCTGCTTAAATACATTTTTGTTTTATTCGTCATTCAATTAAGTCTAATCCTTTTTTGTGACTTTTTCTAAGTGCTCTAAAAATTCTTATTTGTTTAGTTTTTTTCCTCGAAGATCAGTTCTTTGGAGTTCGCTTCCTTTACCTTGCTTTTTTGATTCATATAATTTGCAATCTTTTAAGTCGTATGTCAGTACTTCCATTAACTTCCAAATCTAATTGTGGTTTCAAACTCTTGTTGGAAGCGAAGATGATGATAAAAAAAAAGTCTTTCAATGATATGGATTTATCAAAAATTTTTTGCGAATCTTATATCGGTGCATATCGAAACTACAATTAGAGTGGAAAAAAATGTGAAAATAAATATTACTAAGCAAAAACAGTATATACACAAAAATTGAATTACTAGGCTTTTTTTAGCTTTGTTTAAGTAGTTTGAAATTCTTGGTTTAATACTTTTTTGGTACAGTTTCCACAATTTCCACAGTTTTGCATATATAACTTTATGAAAATGATATTTTGAAAAAATTTATCAGTAAATATATTTTAAAGCAAAACAATTTATCAATGGTGTAGAGTATTTTATTAAAAGTCTATTCATAGATAAAATACAGAAAATAAGCAAAAAGCATAATACTATATTATTTTGCAATTTGAAATTAGATGGCGAGTAAATAAAACAAATATCATCACTAGGTAACGATTATTCATTGACCTGAAACTGTGACAAACAATTTCAAAAAATAAGTCAAAAGTGTTACGTCCATATATGTAGATAAAAGTCGATTTGCCTGGCACAAATTTACTAGATGTATAACTGTTGCAATTTCCTTTACATTTTAGATAGTTATACATGTCAAAAGTTATAGATGATGACGAGCCTATTGGCCGATTAACAAAAAGTCAGCGTAGGACTCTTTTTTTATTATTTTTACTGTACTGCTGCGATACATCAGTGGTGGATTAAGACTTCTTGGGGCCCGGAACTATTATTGTTTTTGGAGGCCTTTTTATGGACCAAAGCCTAAAAATGAAAAAACAAGTTCCTCTAAAATTTTTTTGGGCCCCTAAATTTGCGGGGCCCAGTGATATAGCCCCTCTAGCCCCCCTCCCTCCTCGATCAGGTAAGGCGATTCATTTATATAACATTATTAAACAATGACGTTTATTTTGTATAATTATTCTTATCCGTTGTTATGATTAATTTTGATGATTTGATTTACATCATTATTTTTATTCGTTCAGCATAACGGATAAATAAAATGATACAAAATAACGGAAATAAAAACAAAATAACGAAAATAAAAAATTAGCAAGTATGACCATAGCCAATCGCTGAAGTTGAAATAGCTGTTTTATGACTTGAAATCACTTTTTTTAACTTTTGACATAGTTGTGCATAGTATTCACTAATTTATGTCAATAATACTCTCTGTCGTTAAGTAACACATGAAAACTTAAAACCTTGTTTTTTTTTACATCTTTAAAAGGTTTGCTTAAACTCAGATAAACAACACATTATTATAATTCAATTTTTTATTTTTTAGATATTTGGCTTTATAAAAACATTTTGTTATGCGGATTACCAAAGACAAAGAACAGGTTTTTATTCCAATCGGTTCTTTTCGATGCGAAGAAGACACCAAAAAGTATCTTCCTTGTAACATTTATAATCAGATATTTGATGAAATAAGCGATGGTTTGAAATTGAGTGAGCTTGTTCAAGTAAACAAAGAAAATGTTTATTTAAACCACGCTGCATTTGGGCGAGCATATCGCGATGTGGTTACTTTGAGTTTGCTACTAAAAAGTTTCGCTGAGGAAAATCCTGATGTATTTTACGACCAACTTTGTTTGCCACTCACAAACTATACCTATAAGATTTTGTATGAATTTTTCAAAAGCGAAAATGTTCTCCTCGTTCCAAATTGCACCTTTGGCATGAATGCTGTTCAAGATTATTTGATAAAAGAAAAAAAATATTCAACGGCAGCAATATTGAACCCAATATACGGTGCAACAAGAAAACAATTAGAAACTCTTGAGTATGACGGTTTTTTATCTGAAATTGTCTATATTTCTCCTGGTATAAATGCATTGCTGGAGGAAAATCCTAGCGTAATTTTAACTTCTCTTACAAAGGCATACAACGAATGCAATTTTGAAATTTTATTTTGCGATGCAATCGCAAGCCAAAGTGGTAGAATATTACCTCTAAAAGAGATTAGCAGTTTTTGCGCTTTGCACAAGATTACTTTTGTTGTTGACGGAACACAATGTTGTGAGCTACTGTTTGAAGATAACATCCAGCTACTTGATCATGTTGATTATTTTGTGATGAGCACGCACAAATGGATTGGAAATACTAAATCATGCGGTATTATTCGTTTTAAAAATATTGAAGCGTGTCCGAGACCTCCTGCAATATCATTTGGTTGGGATAATTCTGAAGGAAAATCACACTCTCAAATAAAAGCAGGCTACATGTGGCTGGGTATGCTAGACACATATATTTCATACATAACTTTGTCAAAAGCTATAAAAATATTCAAAAAGTATGGCAGAGCTCAGTTGCAATACGCTGCAAGCTTATTAAATCGTGGGTTACTGAACAATTTAGGAGTTAAACCGTTATTGCCGGAAACAAACGATAGAAGGGTAATAAACATCTTTGATTTGAAAAGTTGTCAGTTTTCATCAATAAAAAACTTAAATGATATACAAAAAGCATTTCAAGAGTATGGTTTATTTGTTTCTGTTAAATCAACTGATCAAGACTGTTTCAATAACAAAGTCCTAAATAAAGATATTACCGAGACAACTAAAGAAGAGAAACGTATGAATCTTAAAAATGATGTTCGCAACGGAATTAACAGTTATATTGCTAAGGAAGAGCAAGAAACCGAAATTCCTGTATGTACAAGATCTTTCAATAAGTATATACGAATATCTTGTTGGTCTTACAACACAATTGAAGATTTTGAGTATTTTGCAAACATATGCAACAACAATCTTTATTTGTCAAAAACAACTGATGCTGGATTACGTCGACAATTTTTGCACATCTATGATCTTTATGAAAAACTCTTTTCTGTATTAAAAACAAAAGCATTTTTTATAAGAGCCGAACGTCTACGTCATCATCTCATTTTTTATTATGCACACACTGCAGTGCTTTACATAAACAAACTTGTAGTTAGCGGTTATTTAGATTCAAAAATGAGAATTGATCCATTCATTGAATCAATAATGTCTGTAGGTGTAGACGAAATGTCTTGGGACGACTTACTTGAAGATAACTACGTTTGGTCTAAATATTCGGATGAGCAACTGGCAGAGTATCTTAACAAAATTAAAATTTATCGACAACAGGTTAAAAAATTAATATTGCAGCTACTTGATAATCAACCAATAAACTTACCAATCAATCCTAGTAGTTTGCATTGGGTAATATTAATGGGAATAGAGCACGAAAAAATTCATCTCGAAACAAGTGCTGTTATAATTTCGCAAGTACCCCTCCACCTAATAAAAAAGAAACACAATTTTAATTTTCTGATGTACAAATCAGAAAAAACAAATAAAACTTATGAAAATTTATATACTTCATGTAAAAATGTTTTAGTTGACATTCCCGGAGGAAAGGTTTTAATGGGTAAAGATAATTTAGAAAGTGACTTTTTTGGATGGGATAATGAGTTTGGATCAGAAGAAAAGATTTTGAAACCTTTCAGAGCTAGCCAGATGCTCGTTTCTAATGCGGAATATTTAGAGTTTGTTGAAGCTGGTGGCTATACAGAATATGGTAAAAAATGGTGGTCTACAGAAGGTTGGCGTTATGTCACTGACTTAAATGTTACAATGCCACGATTTTGGGTGAACAAATTTACTTATAGATTGCTTTTAGAAGAGATTCCGATGCCATGGGATTTTCCAGTTGAAGTAAATAATTTAGAAGCAGAAGCTTTCTGTAATTGGAAAAGTGAAAGTAGTGGAGTTAAGGTGCGACTCATATCTCACGAAGAATCTTTTCATATGAGATTATTAGTACAAAACGAAACATCAAACACAAATCTTAATAAATTTGGTTCACCTACTCCTGTAAATCTTTATGGAGGTCTAATAGCAGGTAAAATGGTTTACGACGTTTCAGGGAATGTATGGCGTCATAGCGTTTCCGTTCTCACTATAATGAACGGATTTAAAATGGATCCTCTCTACGATGATTACACCCTTCCAACAATTGATGGATTTCACAATCACATTTTAGGTGGGTCTTGGATTTCACTAGGCAATTTGGCAAACGTTAATGCACGATATGGCTTTAGAAGGCATTTCTATCAATATGCTGGTATTCGATACGTAGAAAGTGAAAACAGTTTTCATAACAGGTACTTTAATATAATTTATTATAAGATACTCTGTAATAGCTATAAAATCATTTTTTAAACAAAACTTAATTGTGTAATAAGTACAAGTTATTAATAATTAAATATATACTAAAAAGTTTTTATGTACCAAATAGTTTTTAAGTTATTCAGCTTTTTCTCGGCATCAGAACGACCAAAATCCAAGTCTTCTTCTAAAAAAAAGTTTGAGTACAATATAAACGAACTGCTAATTATTATAACAAAACAAAAGTCTCGTAACTAACCTCGTTAGTTACGAGGTTAGTTACAAAGAAACCTCGTAAATTTATATGTGGTCAAAAATTCGTTTGACCTTTTTTTGTTTTTGTTTTTTTAACATATATTTCGCTGTTTATACAAGTAAAAAATAAAAGTAAAAAAAAAATGTTTTCAAATACAAAGAAACGTTTTCATAACATAAAAAAAAACGATTTATATAAACAGACAGGGACTCAAAGAAAATGTGGGTGACCAAAGTCACCACAAGTTTCTCTATTTAATTGAAATTACTGAGTTCACCATATTGAAATGATTATTATCAAAGCTGTTCCATACCTTGGGCTCTCAATATGTTGTGTGGTCCTGTTTATATATTAGTTAATTTACGAGGTAGTGTATATGTAAGCCTCTCATTAGATCTTAGAGAATAGTTATTGTTTTGATTTATTTTAAATTTTGTTTTAAAGTTGTTTGGTGCAAGATTTCTAAAATAATTATACATGAAGATCATGTGTTAAAATCTATTTATCTCATATGCATTCAACATTTTCATTTCCCTCATTAATGGCTTCGCATGCTCAAATTTATTTTGTTGGTATATAATTCTACTAGCATGTTTTTGCAGACTAAATATATTTTTAAGTTTAGCAGGTTGTGTGTTAGCCCAAACAATGTTACCATAACTAATGTAGCTATGAATTAGGCTAAGGTATATTAATTTAAAACTTTAACTATTTATGAATGGACTAACTCTGTAAATTATGTGAACAGTTTTGCTTAATTTTGCTTTGATGCATATTATGTGAAGAAGCTAAGACAAGTTTTTATCTACAAAACTCCTATATTTTTTAAAAAGTTCTGCTTTTTAAATTGAACATCATTTATAAAGAGAGCTGTTAAATTAAGTGGCAGATTTTCGTTTTGTGTATGTTTATAAAATAATTGTGTATTGAGTTTTATCTCTGTTTATTGAGAGCTTGTTGGCTCTAAATCATTTATTTACTTTCATCAGTTCAATATTTATATAATAATATAGCTGATTAATATTGTCATACATTAATAAATTAGTATCATCAGAACAAATTTTTGGATTTAATTTTTCAGATACATTACAGGAATTGTTTATATAGATTAGAAACAGAAAAGGGCCGAGGATTAAACCTTGTTGAACTCCACACAAAATGTGTAATGCACCAAAATCTGGATTGACTATATACTGTTTTCGGTTAGTAAGGTTTTAACACAACAAAATGTTTTGTATGTTACACTATAGTAATTTAACTTTTCTAAAGTATGGAGTGCACTTTCTAAAAGTATGGAGTGAATTTCTAAAAGTATGCAGTGAACTTCTAAAAGTATGGAGTGAACTTTGTAAAAGTATGGAGTGAGCTTCTAAAAGTATGGGGTGAACTTCTAAAAGTATGGAGTGTACTTTCTAAAAGTATAGAGTGAACTTCTTTGTCAAAAACTTTTGACAGATCTATAAATATTCCAAGTGTGAACTGGTTTTTAGCAAACCTGTTTGTTATTTCGTCAACTAACTCAATAATTGCATGCTCTGTTAAAGTATTTTTCTGGAAACGAAACTGTTTGGGTAAAAGAGTGTGCATTTTACAAAACGGCCATTAACTCCATTAAACAAAACGTGAAAACAGATAACACGGATATAGATCTTTAATTTGAGATATCGAAACTACCATTTTCTTTGAGATGGTAAATTTGAGATATCGAGACTATCATTACCTTTATAAATTGGCTAAACTTTAGATTACTTTTCATATATCAAGAAACATGCGTTTAAAATTGAAAGTTTAAAAGTATAAAACAGAGGTTTGCTGATGTTTTTTTGTTTGAAACTACTATATTAGCTGATATTCCATCATAATCCAAAGATATATTTATTTTTAAAGATGAGAAATCATCCTCTACTGTTAATTTAGAGTCATATAATAAATTATTATTAGATGAAATTAAATAGGTTTTAAATGAGATTTTCTTTTCTCAAAAAACCGTTTGTTAATTATACATTAATTTCTTGTTTTGACGACAAGTAACGTTGTTCACACAAATATCGTAAAAATATATCTAATTTTAAAAACCACTTTGATATTGCATTTAGTTTTATACATTTCAATATTTTCTTAACAATTATTAATAAATTACATTCTGACAGATCTTTCAAAAATATTTCTATTTTAAAATATCTATATTTTAAAATATTTATAACAATCAAAGCAATTCAGGAAAGACAACTAACATCAGCTTGAAGTATTTTGTCAATTTTATTTTCGTTTGTTGTTTAATTCTTTGTTATTGTTGTTTAATTATTTAATTTGAGATTGTTAAATAACAATCTCACAATCAAGCACCATATCTTTTAAATATAATTTTTTTACCAAATTATAATCCTTCTTTAGCTCATCTTGTTTTTAAAATTGAATTTAAAAAAAAATTCTCTCTATGGACAACATTCTAAAACTCTACTAAAAACGTATGTAAGATTATTTGTTAAATCTTCAGTATATTATTTATTAAAATGTTGATTTGTTACGTCTTTGCATTATGTTAAATCTTAAATATATCTCTATGTTATTATGTACCACGATTAACATTGTAAACTAAAATAATAAATTACAATAACTAAACAACAAAAACAAATTTTTCGTCAACAAATTTGTTTTTATATTTTTGACTTTTGTGACTTTAAGTATTATAAATGGTAATATATTTTTACATTATTCTTTTTTAAATATATAACGATGATTGGGATCTTGTTTTACAATTGCTAGATGTTAATAATGCATGTGATTTATTTCTTAAGCAGTTTTGCAAACAGTACGAAAGAGCATTTCCTGAAAAAAAATGCGTCATTAATAGCAAGTTTTTTTTCAACTCCTTGGAAGTCCATAGGCCTAATAAAATCCTCAAAAATTAAACAAAAACTGAATGATAAATTCTTAAAAAAAAAACGTATAGGGGAAGTGGGGGCATAACCGTATATGGAGGCAAAACCGTTTTTTAACATTTACTTTTGAAAAATGTTATCTAATATGGCAAAAAACATACCACGCGTAGATAAAACAGTTTCCTTCATTTTGCTTATGACAAAAAGAGTGCCTGATGCGTTTCTATGAAGTTGTGCAAAATAATGTTTATTTTGATAAATATATTATATTTACATCATATTTTTCCAGGCCTTTCTTTTAAAGATAAACCAATATTTGACTTTAGTGTTGAAGATATTTGTTATCAGCGTTATTTCATCAAGTGAAAACCATTTTTGATATCAACATAACCTAATAAGCAAGCTATGAAACTGTATTCTTTTCAAAAACCGTTTAGTTTTTTCCTAATTACAGCAATTTAAAGTTTAATAATGTGGTTATTGAAATAAACTGTTAAAAAGACATATTTCGCTTTCATTTTCATATAACATCAATCCAAACGTTACGGAAGTGGTTATGTCCCCACTTCCCCTAAATATAAAACAACATACAAAAGTTATAAAAATCTATTTGAAAAAATCAAAAAACTTTCTAAAAAAATTTAGTACACAAAATTATTAGAAAAAACAAATGAAAACACTAAAAAAGCATGGCATATTATTAATAAAATAATTTAAAAAAACAAAAGTATGAAAAATTCTACCAAAAAAAATTCTGATTGATAAAAAGCTAGTTTATCGAAAATTGTCTATTGCTGAGAATCTTGTCAGCTTCTTTGCAGATAATTTGCTGAGAATCTTGTCAGCTTTTTTGCAGATAATTTGCTGAGAATCTTGTCAGCTTCTTTAAAGATAATTTGCTGAGAATCTTGTCAGCTTCTTTGCAGATAATTTTGAGCCAAACTTAACTAAAACAAATCCGCTGAGCTTAACAAATTTTGATTTTTATTTTAAAAGATATACGGACGCATATGGACGAATCTAATCTTAAGCTTGCAAATTGCGAGATGCTCTTAATAGCCTTTAAAAAAATAACAGCGCAGATTTTGATAAAATTAGCGCCGATGTTGTAATATCTTTGTAAAAATCTTTATTACATATCTTTAAACTTTTTTAAAACTAAGGTGCTGTTCCGGAAAAGTTAAAAATTGTCCGAATCACACCAATTTTTAAGAGTGGAGATTCCAACATATCAAACTACAGACCGATTTCTATCTTGCCTTGTATTTTAAAGATACTATGTACAAGATATAATGTACAACAGATTCTATGATTATCTGATAAAAAACGAAATGTTGCATAAAAAACAGTTCGGTTTCAAAAAAAAAGAATTTAACCGAACACGCAATAGTCGAGCTTGTAAACGAGATATCGGACGCTCTAAACAACGATTATTTTACATTAGGAGTTTTCATTGATCTGTCCAAAGCCTTTGATACAGTAAACCATGATATACTGCTAAGTAAACTTGAACGCTATGGCATTAGAAATAAAATTTAACTTTGGTTTAAAGACTATTTAAGAAACAGAAAACAATTTATATGCTACGATTCAAAAGAAACAGTTAATAACTGAAAAAAAAATCTAAAAATAGGAATGATTAGAGCTAAACCGTTTCTTAATTTTAAATTACTAAAAGGTTTATACTTTGGTTTTATACAAAGTTACCTAACATACTGTAATATCGCCTGGGCAAGGACCAATCATACAAAATTAAAAAAGCTTTATAGTAAACAAAAACAAGCATGTCGAATTATATTTGAAACAAATAGAGAAGAACCCTTAGAGCCTTTATTGAGTTTACTTGGGACTTTAAATA